TATACATGTCAAGGTTGGGTTCTATTCCATATGTTTTTGGGAATTCGAGGAAAATTCGACATAACTCCTCGTAGTTCTTAACAATTTGACAAGCAACAAACAAAGCATACAACGGTTTAGCGGAACGAGCAATACCGAACTCATCAAGTTGCTTGAAAGTGAGGATGGCATCTTCAAGCATGTTGGCTTGACCATACCAGATAATAACGTGGCACGCAAAACCCTCGTTGTTATGAAAGTCCGGGCGGGTCTTCAATTCCTCAAGAAATTGACGGATACCCTCAAAGTGTTTGGATGCGGCGAGCTTGGAAATGGCGATGGAGAAACAAATGCGATCGATATAAGCCTCAGGGTTGAGCGTAGCGGAGCGACAAATCTCGAGCACCCGTAGTGGGTCCTTCTCGGCCTTGAGACGGGCGAGAACCGGCTTCGATTCCACCCTCGAGAAGGGAGAAAAGGGACCTGGCCATTTGATAATGTTAGCCTCAGGTGAATTTGAAGATGATGCGACTGTGCAGTAGAAGCGATAGCGACACGCTTGGCGCAGTCGAGTAGCCAAAAACATTGTCGCTCTTGGGAAGGGGAATCTAGGGTTTTCGGCAAAGAAGATGATGGGTGAGGTGATCGTATGAGGGCGCGATGCGTGATCCCCTGTTGAGTCTCTCGATCAGAACCGCCGATCAGTTTAGCTTCAGGTGATCGACGGGGATTGAACGCCGCGTTTTGATCTGAAAACGTCGAAAAAGAGGAAGATCCTTTAGGGATTTGAACCCGACGTGAATCGAACACGCAACCTTCTGATCTGGAGTCAGACGCGCTACCATTGCGCCACGGATCCAGGCTTTGTGATAGGAGTGACAATTTTAAGATAATTAGAAATCTTTGAGTTTTGACTTTCACAAAGACACGATAGAAGTATACTTCTTTTTGTCAAGATGGTAAATATTTTTTAAAAAATTAAATATTTAAAAATATAATATTATGAACAAGTTTTTTAAATAATTTATCAATAAATGACTTATGAACATATTAGCTAGATTTTCTTGAGAATAAATTTTTTGAATATTAATTCCACCATTCTTTTGAAGATCGTGAGTGAAAAAAAATTTAGTGAAATATGTTTTGTTCTATCCCTTTTAATGTGCCATTTTTTAATTGGGCAATATAGACAGTATTATCTTCATATATGATCATCAGGATCATTTTGTTAGAAGACAGATCATAAGTAGTTCATATGTAATGGATTAATGATTTTAACAACACATATTCTCAACTTGCTTCATGTGCAGTTACAATTTCTACATGATTAGATGATATAGCTAATATTGTTTGTTTCATAAATCACTATGAAATGGCTATACCACCACATGTGAACAAATATCCTGTATGTAATCTACCAACATGAGAATCAAACAAAAATTCAGTATCTGCATAACCAATAAGGTCAACTTTAGATACTTTGGAATAAAATAATCTCATATCCATAATATCTCTAAGATAGTAAAAAATGTGCTTAACTCTATTCCAATGCCTTCATATCGGTGAAAAATTATATCTCACTAATAAGTTAACAACAAATGAGATATCAAGTCACGTGTGACTAGCGAGATATATTAGTGATCTAATTGCCTTAAGATATAGTACTTGTGAACCAAGTAGTTTTTCATCATTATTTTGAGGTCTAAAAGGATCTTTATCTACATTCAATGATATTATTACATAATGGATGTGATTTATTCATATAAGATTGTTTTAAGACTTTTTTGGTACAAGTTTCTTGATATAGAAAAATTTCATTATTCACACATTTCGTTTGTAATCCAAGACAAAATTTTATTCTTTTCAAGTCTTTCATTTCAAATTCTTTCTTTAAGCAATTTATAGCTTTTGAAAACTCTTCAAATGTTCTAATAATATTTATGTCATCATCAAAAATAGCAATTATAGCAAACTCTTTTCTCAATCTTTTCATGTCCTTCTTTCAACAAATATTTACTAAATCGATTATACTACATACACCCTGATTGTTTCAAATTTATTTAACTTGATTGAATAATTTTTTCGAGAACTTGAATTATATGCTTTTGGCAATTTGTGTCTTTCAGGGAGTTTCACATAAATGTCACTATCGAATAAGCCATACAAATAGATTTTAACAACATTCACTAGACACAAACACAAATTGAGTCCTTCACTTATTGCAAGACTGAATAAATATCGAAAAGTAGTTGCCCACCATTAGTATGTTTCAACAAAATTAATTCCAAATCTTTATGTCAATTTTTGAGCTACAAGCCGTGCCTTATATCTTACAATTTCACCCTTTCATTTCTTTTTCTGCACAAAAACCATTTATATCCAACCATCTTGACATCTTTAGGCGTATAGACTATAGGTCCACAAACTTTTCACTTTTCAAGTGACTTTACTTCTACCTCATTTGCGTCTTTCCATTTTGGCTAATCTTTTCTTCATTTGCATTCCTTAATGCACTTAGGTTAATAATCCTCATTATCAGTTATTACATCAAGTGCTACATTATATGCAAAAATATCATTAACGTTGACTTCATTCTGATCCCATTGTATTCTATTCATAACATAATTCATTAAGATCTCATTCTATTCACACATTTTAGGAGCCTGAGTTTCTTCTGAAATTCAAACATTAGTAGTGTCAAGTGACTCTTCATGAATTACTAACTTTTTTTTTATTATCCTTAATCTGATCATCTGTGTTTCTAATTTCTTTTCTTTTTTGATGATTTTATTTTTAGAACCAATAAACCTTACACGTTTCATGCGTGCTTTAGAATCATTTGCAATAACAAGTTATCTAACAGAAACATCAATTCTAATTGAAGCATTAATAATTAGAATATGTGATTTGGTTACTTTTTTTGGGTCAATAAATGCATTTGGCAATTGATTTACTAAATTTTATAAATAAATTATCTTTTAAAATTTTAGTTCACATTGCTTGGCACAAGGATCAAGATGAGATGATAATAATTCATTCCAATTAATTTTTTTCAAACTGCCAATTTTCTCCCCCTAATGTTAGAAAAATTGATTCATTAAAATGAAAATTAATAAATTGAGCTGTAAATAAATCTCCTATTAATGATTTTAAATATTTAATTATGGATAGAAATTCATACCCAACATATATTCTCATCATTCTTTAAGGACCCATCTTAGTGCATTATAATGGAGCAATTAAAACATATACTGCATATCTTAAAATTCTTGAATGAAAAATATTAAGTTCTTGACCAAAAACTAATTATAAAGGGGATCTCTTACAACAATTTGTTGGTATGATAATTAATAATTCTGCATGTAAAATTGCATGTCCTCAAGTAGAAATTGGGGGATTCGACCAGATAAGTAATGGTTGTGCAATCAATTATAAACATTTAATTAATGATTTTGCAAGTCCATTTTGTGTATGAACATATGCTATGAGATGTTCAACATCAATTCCAAGAGACATTTAATATTCATTAAAAGCTTGTGAAATAAATTCACCAACATTATTTAAATGTATTTTTCTTAATAAAATAATCAGGAAATGCGTCTTAATCTAATAAGTTAAGTAAGCAATCACACAAATGTCAGGTTTCAAGAAAATAATAAGCAAACATGCCAGCATTTTGTTAATGCATGAATTGAAACCATAATGTATTTAAAGGGACCACATGATGAGTGTATAGGCCCACAAATATTACCTTGTATGTATTATAGAAATGTGAGAAACTCACTTTCTATTTTTGCTGGTAATAGTTGAATAATTAACTTTCGTTTAGAACACACAGTACATGAGAAATTATGAAATTGCGAAATCTATTGATCTTTCAATGAATGTTCACATGATTTTTTGTTTATCTTTTGCATCATAATTGACCTAGAATGGCCTAACCAGTCATGCCAAATGTTGAATTTATTACCATTTTGTAAACTTATAGTTTACAACAGCATGTATTTCAATTGTATTAGTAAATGTGTAATACAAGCCAAAGAAAAGGTATGTACTTTTCCAAATGTGCATTTTTTTACCAAAAATTAAATTTTTGATAAGAAGCTATTCTTTATTTTTGTCATTTGTTGTCTTCAAGACCATTGGCATCTAGATATATTTTCGCAACCAGTGCCCAAGATAGATTTTTTTTTCCAATAATGTCAAGTTGAAAGATTCAACATATAGATATTGTTTATAATAAAAAATAGGATAAGAGTTAGATGATATTCAAGATTATAAAAGGATCAAATGGTTAGAAAATAGATTAAATCATATATGAACATAAAAATTACCTTGTAATGAGAAACCTTGCTACATAATAGATTACCAGAGTTCTCATACTGATAACGTGTTATGAAATTAAGCAGCTAGAAAATAAAAATACTGAGAGAAGAAGTAGAGACAAGAAAATGATAAAACTTCTTATAGATTATTGTATCCTTTAATACAAATAACATACTTTATTTATAAGCGTAGTCTTATACATCAAAAATTATACAAATGATAAAGGCAGATAAAGGATAATTAACTCTTATGATTGTGAGAGTTTCATGGGAGAAAATGAAAAAGAGGTGAAAAAGATGAACATTCATTATCCTTTTAATATTCATAACATAAAACAATTTAACAGTGAAAAAATATTATTGTAATTATAATTTCAAAGTGATAAATAAAATGTATCAAATTTATACTTAGGTATTTCCAAATAAAATTCTACAGGCCTTGGCTGTAAATTTTCCTTCATGAAACAACATTTTTTATGATACTTTTCTAAATTAAAAATAATACGCAACATATTTCTTGATCTATTTTTTTGCCAGAAATATTTCTTAATATATTAACTTAATTGTAAAAAGATTTTAAAATTATAATGTTAATACTCAATTCTAAGTTCTAACCATATGTTTTGGCTTCTCATTAATGTCATCAATCTATATATGGAGATATTTTATGGTGGATGATATTATTAATTTTCCATCAATTTTATTCTTTAAGAGTGTGTTTGGATGCATAAGTATTTGGATTTGAAACAAATCATACACCTGGATAAATCAAAGTCTTTCATGTTTTATTATAACTTTTTTACAATTTCAAATTTATTCTAGACCTTATATATAATTATTTAAAATTCCACCCCTCATTTTCTTCATGTTTTGATTATTAGAACCTTTATTAGTTTTGCCACTCCTCTCATTTTTCATTAACGTGAAGAAAATAAGTAAACCATCAATTTCAATGTTATGTTTTTGCTTCAAATATCAATTTATCTTTATTTTATCTTTAAAATTTTCTTGCACTATACAAACAAAGTATTTTAAATATAAGGATGTTAAATCTAAAACTTAATGTAAATTTACATCCATTAACCCATAACAAATGTTACTTAAAAGATTTGTTTGTTTAAATGAAACGGTAAGAGTGGTTTAAATACACTTAATCAATAAGTGTCTCACGTGACACATTAACAATGGTTTAATTTAATTGAATAATTATCAATAATTTTGTTGTATAATACTCAAAAAGTATAAAATCTCAATTTTTTGC